CAGACATGTTTGGGGTTGCTTTAAATTGGTTGACAGCCACCACAATAGTCATGTCAATAGTCATCATTTCTGCTAATTCCGAAAAACATGCATCCTGCTCAGTATTTTCTCCTTTGTCCAAGGGCTACATACATGTGTGTATGGGAGAACAGCTGTTAAACAATTGTTTTCCTAGGTTATTGCAAGAGTTATGGTGGCCTCTCTTGATGCTATGAAAACGGTTCATTTTGTTCAGGAAAGGACAAATTTTAACATCATGCTACCTTCCATCAAGTTTGATCTTTTAAAGGAACATTTTGAGAAATTTTATCATGAAGCTAGTTAGATGGACAGACAGGACCAGTATAATCACTTGAACATGTTTTACTATGAAGTGCAAAATAAAACTGGTAAACATGTGTGATATGGTCCACATAATTATGTTACTACGCAAGCGTTCTAGCCACGGTGGGTGGCTCTGGGCAGCACCACCCGGCACTGTAAATTTCTGCCCAGGTCTTGTGTTCAAATTGGTTGTGCCGCTCAGCACGTATTTTCCAAAAAATTAACTGAAATATTGCTTAAAATGTACCAATTTGATCATACTTCCAGCTTACAAGGTTAAAGTTTTGCATTATTTTACAATGTTAATGAAGTATTAGTAAAGACCTAAGAAAAAAATTTCTCACAAATCAGCGGCTGATTGCAAAAGCATTATTGTAAACATGCCTTCACGATGCCATAGGGGAAAATCCCTTCTGGTATTCCCCTAAAAACCCAGCTACGGGCTGTGAGAGCTCTGCTCACTGTGCTCACTACTCTTGATAATCCAAAAATTTACCCGGCACTAAAAATGGTCCTGGCTAGAACACTGTACTATGCATGTAAATCAACAAACTTCAGATACCGAAATACCAAAAGCACAATAGAGTAAAATATGTGCTTGAGAACAATAGTTTTAAGAAGTTGGGAGTTACATATTTGTGAGGAAGATAATTTTGTACCTTGTTATGCTCTAGCTAGCTGTTGTGTACATGTATTCAGGAAAAGACACAATATTTAACAAGGTGTAGAATGACAGGCCCACTGTTGTTCTCCTATGGATGTAATAATGAAGTAGACTTAAGTAATGGCTGTGGTGGCCATCAGTAGGATGATTTACTAATCATGCGATGGTAAAACCACAATTTAAAAACAGTGACACAAGCACTGATGTTGGCCTATGGTAGCCCCTACAACGAAATGCATTTGTATGAATACATAAACTGTGCAGGAAAAAATTAGTTGCACTTATCATTATAAAGAATATCAACTTCAGCAAGTTTACTTCTGCCATAAACTTTCATAGCTTTTCGCCTTTCTCTTTCTCTCCTTTACTTTGTATTCCTCATACATCACTGGGTTTTCCATTAGTTTGTTTAAATACACAGTCGTCCTGCAAGGCCCCTTCTTCAGACATTTCTCTCTCTTCCTGAGGTCCCAGTTAAATTTCATTTGTAGTTTCTCTGCCATGTTAAGGTTGCTTGTTTAACAATGCACTATTGGCTCATAAATGTACTGTACATTTGGTGTCCACAGTGAGTATGACTTCAGGCAGGAATTAAAACCATTTGAAAGCATGGCTCTATGCATACACTGTGAAAACTATACTGAAGGATACTTTCGAAATATATCAAATTAAAATAACAGAAGAGTGATCAGCACATAATCTGTGCATGATAAGCTGAATTTTTCCCTTTTTCATAGGGAAAACTACAGAGCTCTATGGTAAAGCCAATGAAATGGCTGTGAACAAAGAGTGCAATATTTAAAACTCATGTAGGTAGATGGTTTTAAACTTGCTAAATAAAAGTGTCCTTTCCTAAGCACTAATACCAAAACACTTGTCTAAAACAGTAAATCTTACTGAAATTAGGACAAACTGATGCATTATTTTTGTGAATTTGCCTGTATGAAACTGTAAATCGGCCAATTTCTGATAAATATTGGATTAAGTGTGAATTAGATGGATAATTGATATGGGCATATATATTACTCTTATCATGTGGACATAATGCTCAAGTAAATAACCCCCAAAACAAAATACCAGCATTTTTTGACCAATTAACTGGTTTTAATTTCAAACACAAACTCTACAGACAAGATAAGCATACACTTCATCAAATTTAAGCAACAGTGGCTTAATTGGGGACTCTGTTAAACTAAAGGTACAGGAAAGGACAATGAAGTTTAATGACAATGCCAGGACAGCAAGCGCGGCTCAAGTCCGATTTCTTCTATAGTCTATTTGATCTTGTAAATCTATGCTAAGCTACCAGTTAATGCCCCCCCCCCAAATTTTCTGACTTTCTGCAAATCATGGGATGCCACGTTCAGGAAAAGACATTTTTAAATAACATTTGCATGGCATATTCATGAGCATTTATATCTTATTTACTTGTGATCACTGCAGTACAGGTTAATAGAGTGTGGTGTTGGTGTTGTGTTGACAGGTAATGAGTTACATTTCATTTCTTTCCTTTCTGGAAGAAATACGGTACCATGTTCAGGAGACAACATTTTGAAATAGCATTTAACTAACAAACCAATGGCTCACTCAAAACAGTGTAAAACAAATGGTCAACCAATTCCAATGAAATTTGGTATACACTTTCCTGGAACATCTCAATGTCCACGCGAGACCAGGCAGGTCTACTACCATTTGATTTCATTTCACATCAATTACAGTTTCTAGAAAATTTGAATGAGACTCCAAATATTGTGTTATAGCACCTGTTTTAGTTCATATCTTGAGAACCATAATGCGTAAAGCCTTAAAATTGTTTTGGAGATTGCAACAATGAAAAACTCTATGCGAGACAAAAAGCATTCAGTTTCAGCAAAATTTTGCGATAAAAAAAGCATCAATATCCAATTTTTCATTTTGCAACCTTTCCCGTGAAACCTGCTGTACCCTATGCAATCATTTCAAATGTACATTGTACATGGATACTTACCATTTTTCAGCATCTCTTCATGGCCCCCTCTTCTATGATACTTTTCAATTATCTCCTGTTTTTCCAATATCTTTAATTTTGTATCATTCATGCTTTTACTTTGTAGTATATGTTTGTTTTGTGTTTTTCTAATCAATAAAACATAGACAGAAAAAAATAGAAATACGAATTGCCAGTTAGCATACTTTACCCCCATTTTCTCAACTGATTCATGCAACTCATGAGGGTAGACTTTATGGCCCAAAATTCTGGTGGGGGGGGGAATACCACATCCCAGTAGAACTGTCACAGAAGCTGAAACACAGAGGGACATGATCAGAAATACTGCGAGAAGGAAATGATGGAAGACCCAGGTGCAGTGTTCTCCAAGAGGGGATTTAACAGGGCAGGAGCCCTGCCAAAATTTTATGCCACCCTGTTGAAGTTGTGCCGTCTGACTAAATTTTTCACTACCCTGTAATTATTTGCCACTGGATTTTCCACATTCTCCACTGTCTTCACAGTTTATTTCAGTACAAAAAGGTTTACTGCACTCTGTGGGACAAACATGATGAGCTTCTCAGCATCAACATTCTGCAGCATTGCAGTAGCGTTTATGGTATAACCAAGGGCTGGTCTCAATGTACATGTATCTGTGTATGCAACGTACATAAGGAAGGTCCTACAAAATATGAGCCATCAGATAACAATGAACTGGGGGGTTATTTCCTCAAGTGAACAGCACTAAATTAATCCACAATGTCTAATGAAATGAGGAAAGTCATGACCGATATCTCGAACACCAATAACAGTGCCCGTCTTTATCTTGATCTACATGTACATGTGAATGTCAGTAATTTTGACAGACATGATTAACTTGTCAATCCTAGCCACCTTTAAATTATCGGTAAGTAATAATTCCCACGGTAAATTTAAACAGATTTGTAAGTGGTTAAAGACAATAATATTTAAGCCTACATTGCATGTATATTAAAACTATATTGTGACATTAAAAACCAGTCTCACAAATTATCGGGTCCCAAAGTCGGCAAATGTGAATGTCGTTCTATTTTGTCAAATTATCGTCCATAAAATAAAGCGAGTAAATCGAAAACCATATATAGCAAAAGCTTATGAAAACAGTGCAAGAACGGACCCCAAACCATCATCCTTTTATGACTTGAAGTGTGACATTTTCTTCAAATGCATTTCTGTAATCTCCAGTCCAAAATACCAATCACAACCGTGGGACGTCTGTCAATATATCATGGTGACATTGCAGAAATATTTTGCTGCCTCATAGGCAGTTTGACATTTGACATAAGCCCAGATAGTGCACCCTCTTTTTCATTCGATATTCATAAACCCCTCTGCAAAAACCAATGCTCTCTCTGCGCTGATGTTTCTTGAAAAATCTAACTAATCGAAATTCCCGCAAAAAATGAGGCATACAGTTCATGAGACAAATCAAATGTTCTGAGTTCTTAATTTCAATGTACATTGTAAATTTCAGCGAGGGCTTCTCCAAAACAAACAGCAACATGAACATTGAGCATGGAATTTGAAGCACAAAATGCAACAGCATTTTTTTTGAGTTATGTTCTCAAGCCAAGAACCAGTTAACCTAACTTAAGTTACACTGTTCTTTTAACACTCGAAAGCATTTTTAATCTGACCATTTTTATTCACGCTCCGCAATAACATTGGAAAACACTGCTGGTGTTTATTTGATAGTTTATTGAGCAAAAAATGTGTTAATTTCTTTATTATTATTCATTTATTCCAACACAGAGTTATTTAAACTCTGTAACACTGCTGACCACTTCTTGTGAACAAAGCCAATTTTGACAGATTGTCTCTGATCAGTCGTTTGACCAAAACACTATCTTGCTGGTATCACAAGAAAGAGAACAGCATGAATCTTTAAACACTGAGAAATGTTATTGAGTTACAAAGTAATTTACCTCTAAATCCTTTTTTTAAAGAAAAAATCCAGTAGAGGATGCCTGGGGTTAGTGCTAAACAGATGACAGATTATAAACTTACCTTGGCACTAGGTCCGTCAACAGTCTTTTGAGTAGCAGTATAAGCATGCACAGTTGTCATCAGTCCCTCCTTAATTCCAAATGAGTCATCAATCACTTTGGCAAGAGGAGCCAAACAATTGGTTGTACAGGAAGCATTACTGTAAGTATAATCAAGAAAACAGATACACTTCCATAAAATAGATGAATTCTCCAGCTTTTGTGGGAAAAAATCCTGGGATGCCCGTGGGTTTGTGCTCCAGGGGCTGAAAACTGCAAATGTCCCAGTAGATATAAAAGACCAAAAGCATGCATGCATGTTGGAGTGTACATGTACAACATATACATGTACACTCCAACACATTAATCACAGAAAATGTCCATTATACGAAAGATTTTGATAGCATACATGTATCCTCAAATTGATCAAACATTAAAAACACAGGAGGAAATGACTGACTTTCCTTCATCAGAATGTACTCAAAAACTGCATAGAATCTTATTTAAGGCTTACAAAATTTATCTTGGAACTGCAAAAACTTAACCACTTCCAGCTGGGGGCTCCGGTACTGGAGCCATAGGCCTTATATTCGTGGCTGGGGTCTCTGAAATCAGAACTTTGATAAAAAAAAAAGTTGCTGGGCGTTTCTTAAAAAGTTTGGGGCTGTCAGTTAAAAAGTTTAGGCCATCGTTGGAGGTAAATAAATTGGTCTGAGGCAATAATGGGTTGCTGGGGCCGGAGAATTGGGACTTTATTTTATAGCCGGGGTGACCGAACTTAAAAAAGCCTGTAATAAAATTACGAGCTGCTGAGTGCTGCCAGGCACTGCCAATCAATCCCAGTATTCTTTCAGCACAGAGCGCTGACATTAGCGGAGGTAATCCCTGTATTGTTGCACTGCTGGGCACTCGTAGCACTGAAGACAAAGCGCGGGCTGTTCGGGCTCATTATGCACCTGTGCCCCATGAATGACCCGGCCTGAGCACTGCTGGCTCTTGCCACGTTGACTGACAGGGCACGGCCCTCGCTGCTCGAGGATAATATCGGCGTGCAGTGGCTACATGTGTTCATATTGGGTATCGTGTTATCAGAGCACAGACAACATGGCTGAAGTTATATCTGGAGCGTCCAGCTCTTCCAGTGAAAGCGAGTTTTATCTCAGTTCAGACGAAGGTTCTTCGTCTTCTTCATCACCGCCGTCACCTGCTCAAGTACAGTCAAGTACAGAAATTGACAGTGATGTACCCTTGGCGGTATATGCCAAGCGCAAGAGACAGTCCCGTTCACAGACCGCTGCATCGACCAGCAGCAGTGCTACACCGTTCCGGTGGACAGACAGTACACCACTGAAGTACGGCTTCATCGGTAATAGTGGTGCCGTCGATCCCCACCTGCATCGCAGCTCGACCTGCAGTGAAACCTTTGAACTGTTTTTTGATGACGTTCTCTACAACAAGAGACCAACCTGTATGCCATGCAGAGGCCCGCTACAACATTGGCGCACATGCGATCATGGACTGATCTGAACACTAGAGAACTGAAGGCCATTCTGGGCCTTTGCATAATGACGGGCATTGCGAAGCACCCCACCCTTCATAGCTTCTGGTCCACCGACCCACTACTGAAGATGAGCCTATTCCCGTCCGTCATGCCCCGAGATCACTTCTTTGCCATCCTGCAGTCCCTGCACTTCAACGATAACACCCAGTGCGCCCAGTCGTCGACTATCTTCTTCAGGAGTTTGCCACTGTCTACGTTCCTCAATGGGACATTTCCGTCGACGACTCCCTGTTGAAGTTTTACGGGCGTCTCCGTTTCGCTACCTACAACCCCAGAAAGAGGGCCCGCTTCGGCATCAAGATGTACAAGTTGTGCTAGAGCACCGGGAGTGCCACCGGGTACTGCTACAACTTCAAAATCTACATCGGCCACTTTGAACATCTACTTTCATGGACATTATATTTTGTGTTTTTCATGACTTGATGCCCCACTTATCTGGTGTAAAACAATATGTCATTTACTGGTGGTTTTAGGAGTTGTCATAGTTTCAACCATTGAAAAAAATGACGAAAAAGACAAAGTTTCTGGAAAGTACTGCTTTGAGGATGTTGTATTTTCATCTCTTGAAAAAGTGGCACATTTCCTTGTAATGGTTTTACTAAGTGGTCAGGTTTTCAAACTTTGAAAAAAATGTCAAAAAAGACAAAGTTTCTGGAAGGTACTGCTTTGAGGATGTTGTATTTTTATCTCTTGAAAAAGTGGCACATTTCATTGTAATGGTTTTACTAATTGGTCATGTTTTCAACCTTTGAAAAAAATGACAAAATAGACAAAGTTTCTGGAAAGTACTGTTTTGAGGATGTTGTATTTTCATCTCTTGAAAAAGTGGCAAATTTCCTTGTAATGGTTTTACTAATTGGTCATGTTTTCAACC